ATGGTTAGAACCTATCTCCTACTGACAATACGTTTACGGTTGATAAAAATAGTTTCAGAGGGCCAGAGAAAAAGTTGACTTGTAAGAAGTTGAAATTCAGAAGGGTCACGAATGTTATTGGGCTGATGGTTAAAAAGCTTTCGAAGGCCAAGAAGAGAGTTTTGGGCCCGGTCTCTCTAGTTAAACCTACCCAATTCGAGGACCTAATTGAACCTTTTTATCAACCATCTTTATTTGCTCCTTCGAAATCTCGATTACCTTGCAATTCAGCATCATCTCATCAAATTCATCGAACAGACGCATTATCGGAAGATACAACAAATTATTCTATTGGGGGCTATTCTTTATTGTAATCCCACATCAGATTTCAATGTTTGTATGTGCAATTCCAAATTTTGGGAAAACATGGAGTCGAACGTTGGGGTAAAATCTAGAATGCTTTATCAAACATTGGTGTTACTTCTAGGGATTCGAAGAAAGATTATAATAAGAAGATCGTGAAAATGGAGGCGAAGGACAAGGCTAGATTCAATTCCAAGATGGCGTTCAAATCAGGAGAGCAATGATTGTAGGTTCCTTGAATATCAGAAGAGAAGGTAATTTCTCTAAGAGAAAAAAAGATTAGCAACATTATAAAGTCAGGAAAAGTAGACATTTTTTCCATTTAAGAATCGAAGATGAAGGTGAACGATTCTAAAATTATTAGTAGTCTGTGGAGTAATCAAGAAGTAGGGTGGTCTAGTAGTACTTCTGTTGGAAATTCTGGAGGTATTATCATATTATGGAATGAGGGTTCTATCAAGCCTATTTTCAAATCTAGAGGCGAAGGATATCTTGGTGTTAAATTGTCATGGAAGAATGATGTTTTCTATGTTGTTATTATTTATTATGTGTGGTATTCATCAGAAATACAAATTTTAGAGTGATCTAATTCAAGTCAAGAGGAAGTTGAATGATGATCTTTGGATTAAGGGAGGAGATTTTAATGTGGTTTCTGATCCTCCAGAGAGAAATGGGCATGTTATTCTCAGCAGAAATACAGAGAAGAGGGAGTTCAAGGATTTTATCAATGAGCTAAACTTGATTGATCTTCTGGTGTTTGGTAATAGATTTTCTTGGTTCAATAGTGATGGTAAAGCCATAAGTATATTAGATAGGTTCTTGGTGGATGTTTCAATCATTGATAGATAGGGTATGGTGGGGAAAATTATCAGTAAAAGGAACATCTTGGATCATTTCCCGATTTGGGTGAAGACTAATGTGATAAATTGGGGGCCTAAATCGTTTAAAAACTAACGACTGTTGGTTTGAAAACAAACAATTTCTTAGTTTTATGGAGAATGAGAGGAAGGAGTCAATAGTTGTAGGAAGGAGTGATTATATTATCAAAGAAAAGTTGAAGAGGTTAAAGAAAAGTTTTAGGGGATAGAATAAACATATCTTTGGTTGTCATGATCTTAAGGTAGAGGAAGAAGTGAATTGTATGAATGATATCGATAGGCAACTATTTCTTAGTACTAGGAGTGATGTTAATGAGTTGGTTGAAAAAAGGTTTGTTGCTTGCCAATCTATGTGGAGGAATCTTTACATCAACGACAATATGCTTCTCCAAAAAGCTAGAATAAAGTGGAATCGGGATGGCGATTTGAATTTGAAATACTTTTATAGTTTAATCAAGGGGAGAGCTAGAGGGAAATTCATTGGCTTGGTTGAAACGGAGAATGATGTGGTGGATTTTGTTGAAGACATTAAAGAAGCTGTTAGAAACTTTTACAAAGACAAATTCTCAAAATCTGAAGTTAGCAAACCCTTGCTCTACGTCGTAACCAAGAAAGAAACTTTCAATTATATCTTTTCAATAGTCAAACTTTTCACCTTCAAAGACTGGCAGTCTGACATTATAGTGATCTTTCTCTTCTGGAATAGGATTAGCATTAGCTGTATCCATGATATCTCACACAAATACTGGACCGGTACTGAACACGGTAAAGTGTTGATATAACTTATCATAATCAGAACTGGAGCTCTGATGCCAATTGAAGGTGTGAGAAAACACAAGAAATGGGGGTTTGAAATAGGTTTTCAAAAATGAAAGTTTTTTGTGAAATTCAAACAAAGATCACAAAGATACTAACAAGAGAGAAAGACACATGATATATCCTGGTTCACTTGAAAACTATCAAGCTAATCCAGTTCACCCGCCAAGGTAATTTGGCCTTATACACAAGGACTTAATCCACTATAATCAACTGATTACAATTTTCATTAGCAATTGCTGATGACTAACAACAAAGACTAATTGTCTCTTCTTAAGGATTCTGACCTAACTGGTCCATTAAGGAATTACAAACAACTATTTGAAAAATAAATGTTTACGAAGAATTGCTTCTACACAAGCAGATATAAACACTGTGAATATCACAAGTGACTTAAAGAAATTTTACACAGTATGAATATATCAATGTTGTGTTTCACTGTTTGCTTGCTTGCTTTGTTATCGTTGCATGCATTTTTCTTCAAGTGGTCAAGTCCTTATATAGCCAGTAAAAGATCCGTTGGAGGGCACATCAGAAATATCCTTGAGTGAGCTGGCGACTTGAAAAAACGTCCTTACGCAGGGATGAAAATCATACACAAAAATTATCCATTGTACCACCAAATCATAGTAGTGGAAAGGTAGTGGAATGGACCGTTTTGATACATACTATGTATTATTTTCCCTCGTAAACTTTTGATCTTATCTTCTGTACATCAGAGGCTTCTGAATAGAGATGTTTGAAGCACGCGTACAAGAATTTTTCACTGGGTCTTCAGAGTCTCGAGTCTTCAGAACTTGTTCACCAGAACCTTGTCTTCGGAACTTTTAACACTCAGTCTTCAGAATCCTTGGTCTTCAGAAACTTGAGTCTTCAGAGTCTTCAGAACTTCGTTCAGCAGAACCTTGTCTTCAGTGTCTTCAGCACTTAATCTTCAGAAGCTAAAAAGCCTTCAGAAGTAAATCATCAAAGTCACGCTCGGAGGCAAAAACCAGGAGAACATTGCAGCAGCAAAATATTGTCTTCTTAGAATCAGACTTGCTTCTTTGGCGCAGAAGCGGCTTTTGGTTAAACCAGATTGTCATTATATATGGTCTCTATCAGAGTCAGAACCTGTTTGTTAAAACTTTAGAATAACAAATGTTTGAATATCAAAATTGTTCTCACACAAATACTACTTTGTTATTATCAAAATTTAGAGATAATGAGCGGAACCAAATTTTGTTCTAACAACATTAACTTGTTCTGTTAACATGAATACCATAACATTAACTTTCACCATTACAACATCGGTCAACATACAAACCTAATCAACTATATCTTGTTTCATCATTGTTGTTCCAACAAATGCAAAGAATTTTACAAATAACAAAATCCAGGTAATCTTCAACTGTTTCTTCAAGATCTTCACCTTCATCTTCATTTCGTCCTCCTTTATTTTTTTGGGTGTTAACCATATCCTTCTCCTCATTCAAGTTCTTTAACAGTGAAAAAATTATCTCTTTTGTCCTAAGATTCATTTCTTCATCCAATCAAGCAAAGTGAGTGCATTTTTTGTATCCTTGGATCTGTTAACACCACCAGAGAGTTAATTGAGTGCAGAAATTAAATTTTTTTGTAAGCCAGTTGAAGATTTATGATTATCTTATACATCCCACAACCATAGAAACAACGATCTGGGTTCGCATTCGTCCATGTCGTCATCAACGCAGTATCAAGATCACATTTGCATACATATCTCGAACGACTTGAGGTCCTGTTTCCATGATTACAAAATAAATAGATTTAATATTAACTTGAAAAGACGGAGTACGAAAACGAATAACACTCGTACAAGAAAGAAGAAGACGAAAAACAATTATGAAAAAAAGGAAGACGAAGACAAACTTTAGTTCTGATGATTTTTATAACTAACATCCATAATTTTTAAACAATTATAATAATGTTAATTTAATTAAAATATGATTTAGGTTTTTTTTAATGTAAATAGTATTTGATGTATACATATTAAAAAACAAGACACTTCATTATAATTGAATAATGTTAATTTAATTAAAATATGATTTAGGTTTTTCTTTTTAAATGTAAATAATATTTGATGTATACATATTAAAAAAACAAGACACTTCATTATAATTGAATAAGGACCGAGTAAATTCAAAATGAATTTAACTTGAAAAGACTAAATTCGCTTAAACCAAAATCATTAAATATCAGATCCAAAATCATTAAATATCAGGTCCCGCCATTGAAGATGCTCTTCCATATTATTTTCTTAATTATCTACTATATTAATGGTTGAGTTGAAAACTTTAGAAATATATTTTAAATGATTATACAATTATAGTTAACGAATTTAAATTTGATTAAATATTTAAAAAGTAATTTAAAATTTAAGTTTATATAAATGTAAATTTAAAATTAGTTAAACATTTTAAGTGATTTTATATGTACAACATTTGCGATTTTAACTTCCGCTTCCCAAAATATCATTTTAACTACTTTGAGTGTTTGCATCTCCTGCGCCAGATTTTTTTTACATCTATATCGAACAGAATAAACCTTATTATTTCAATATCAATACCTGTTTTTTTCCACCAAATATGTAAGTCTTAATGTACCCATTTTGAGGGTATGCCTCACTTTCCAGTGAAAAGTCCACTGGAGATAATGCCCTCCCCCCGTTTTGATTCGTAACCTATGCCTTATATTCCAGACTGATAGAAACACCCACCAGGCTACCACACATGATATAACACACAACTTCTACTTTATCCAATTTTAAGGGAAACAGTAATGACATCGAAGGTGCAATTGCATTATTCAAACAGACCACTGTTCATTAAGTTAATCATGAGAACAGAATTATACGAGTACGGCACAGCAAACTACAATCTTAAGCCACTATTAGGACCCATAGACCAGAACAAACATTAAAAAGACCACAACGCTATCTCCCAATACTTAAAATCCACCACGAAGACGCAATACAAGATGAAGAGTAGACTCTTTCTGAATGTTGTAGTCAGCAAGGGTCCTTCCATCCTCCAATTGCTTCCCAGCAAATATCAACCTCTGCTGATCTGGTGGGATTCCCTCCTTGTCCTGAATTTTTGCCTTCACATTATCAATTGTGTCGGAACTTTCTACCTCCAAAGTAATGGTCTTTCCAGTCAAAGTCTTCACAAAGATTTGCATACCTCCCCTCAAACGAAGGACAAGATGAAGGGTGGATTCCTTCTGGATATTGTAATCAGCCAAGGTTCGGCCATCTTCGAGTTGTTTTCCAGCAAAAATCAACCTTTGCTGATCTGGAGGAATACCCTCCTTATCTTGTATCTTAGCCTTCACATTGTCAATTGTGTCTGAGCTCTCCACCTCCAAAGTAATTGTCTTGCCGGTAAGGGTTTTCACAAAAATCTGCATACCACCGCGAAGTCTCAAAACAAGATGAAGAGTTGACTCCTTCTGGATGTTGTAATCAGCCAGGGTTCTTCCATCTTCGAGCTGCTTTCCAGCAAAAATCAACCTTTGCTGATCTGGTGGAATACCCTCTTTGTCCTGTATCTTGGACTTGACATTGTCTACGGTGTCAGAACTCTCCACCTCGAGGGTGATGGTCTTTCCTGTGAGGGTCTTGACAAAGATTTGCATACCACCACGGAGACGGAGCACCAGGTGGAGGGTAGATTCTTTCTGGATGTTGTAATCTGCTAAGGTTCTGCCATCTTCAAGCTGTTTACCAGCAAATATGAGCCTCTGCTGATCTGGTGGGATACCCTCTTTATCCTGAATCTTGGCTTTGACATTGTCAATAGTATCAGAGCTCTCCACCTCGAGGGTAATGGTCTTTCCTGTGAGAGTCTTCACAAAGATCTGCATCCCACCACGGAGACGGAGCACCAAATGAAGAGTTGATTCCTTCTGTATGTTGTAATCAGCAAGTGTACGTCCATCCTCTAGTTGTTTGCCAGCAAAAATGAGACGCTGCTGGTCTGGTGGGATCCCTTCCTTGTCTTGAATCTTGGCCTTAACATTGTCTATGGTATCTGAACTCTCAACTTCGAGGGTAATAGTCTTGCCGGTGAGGGTCTTAACAAAGATTTGCATCTAAGTTATCCAAAACAAACAAAAACAAATAAATCAATCATCAATTACTATGAACGTATTATATGTAACAGAGCACTGAAAACACGAGATCAGCTAAATTAATGAAATCTATTTACAGGAAACAACAAAACTTACTTAACAATCAATAGATTAGGCAACAATCATGGATACAAGATTACAATTTTATAAAAAGTATCCAATCAATTAATCAATAGATTAAATACACATGGACTAATCTAATTAAAAGAAACTTTAGAATCATACCATACATAATCCAGATCTGACAATTTCAACATGATTAATCAAATAAACGGTTCAATTCAGAGTAACTTCCATCGCATGAAATAGAAATTGAACCGATCGAATTACCAATTAAAAAGATAACACAAAACCCTAATCGATGTCTAAAAGCCTATATCAAATTCAAATTCAAAGTTGACAAAGATCGATAAAATAATAGCTAATGATAATAATCTATGCGTTAATTAAGACGCGAAGAAAAGTAGATGATACCTTGAAACGATTTTGTGTGTGATAAAACTATGAGAAGAAAATTATGAATCTCTTTTTTCCTACCAGAAATGAATAGGTGTTTGTTTGGGATAAAACTATGAGGAAATTGCTATTTCGGATATGGTTTTATAGCAAAAAACGGATCAATAGGAGGTTTCAGCAACTGCAGGTCACCAATAGAAAAGTTACACGTGGATAAAAATGAAGTGTCAACCCTTGCAATACGGCAACGTTTGGCATCAAAGTCGTATTCGGCAACTGATGACTTGTCACGGAGTAGATGGTAGATGCATCTCCTTCCAACCACGTCTAGAATATGTTGGCCTAGTTTGTCTTCCACCGCCTCTAGAGATATCTTCTAATCAAAGTTTTCCTTTTTTAGAGTATATAAGTTAACAACAGAGACGTATGGCTCACCCAATACAGCTAAGATTAAGCCAATTTTTTTTAAAGTAGAAAAAGTCTAAATCTTTTTATAATTTTATTTAGTTAAATAGGACAAGCATCGGATCATAAAAACTTCTTTTAAATTATTAGATTGCCCTATTTTAATAAACATATTATTTTTTTATATTTTATTTGTGTTTTATATTAAAATACAAAAGTAAGATTTAAATATGTTAGAGAACTTGTAAAAATAAGCTGAAAAAATTTTATAAATAATGTCATAAGTTGTTTTCACAAGTTCTCATAAACAAATAATTTAAATTTTTTTTATAAATAATGTCATAAGTTGTTTTCACAAGTTCTCATAAACAAATAATCTTACCAAACCTATGTTTCTATGTAAATAAAAATTTAGTTTCATTGTATTTTTTATTATCTAGTCTATTTAAATATTAGTTGAATTATTTATTTACATATGTTCAAATGATATACGTTTTTTTAAATAGGCTAATCAGACCTTCGAATAAGTCAAGGTCAGGCTGAAAAATGAGTCTCTGATAGAGCATAGGTCTAGCTTAGACTTTTATTATTTTAGTAGGTCATACCCAAACTTGACAAAGTTTAACTCGGCTCAGTCTATTTCTACTCTGTCGCACCTCGAAAAATCACGGAGACATTTCGGAGAAACGCGACCCTCGCGCGAAAGGCGCGGAAATGCGGTTCGACAGAGTCGCCACCGAACTTTATTTTTTCCGAATAAACGGGAGAGGAAAATATCGAGAAAACCTCTTAAAAACGAAAGGATAGGAACAGGGTTGTCGCAACCATGTTCCGGGTTCGGGAGTCAGTTACGTGAGGGGAAGGTATTAGCAACCCTCACGTCCGTCGTACTCGACGGGAACCTCTTAAGGTAAATGTGGGGAGTGTTGTTTAGGTTTACTTGTTTTTTCTTGTTGTTAAAGGTAGAATTGGTAGGTTAAAAGACGCAAAGAAGAAATGGGTGGTTAGAGGATAGGGTGCTCGCCAAGGATTGGGGCCCTTGTGCCTACGTATGCTCATTCGGACGAGAATGAGAAATCAGAGCGTCGTAGTTCGACTACGGGAAAGGCTGGGGGGAAACGGAAGATGGAGGGAATTGTGCTCGCCAAGATCATCGCAATCTTGTGCCTACGTATCTTACATTCAAGAGTGAATGAAGAATCAGAGCGTTTGTAGTTCGTGGTAACAACCACGAAAGATGAGGTTGAAAAAGGGGTTGAAGTTTGAGTTTGAGACGAAAGGGTGACTGACAAGCAACCCAAGAGCGCGCCTCAAGAGCTTGTCACTCAAGAATTCAAGGAATGCGAGGTTCCAAGAACTCAGTTCTTTCGGGAATTGACTGAATAAGTTGAAGATAAGGAGTTGGATGTTTTGAAATCAAAAGAATGAATTAATAACAACTCAAGGGCGCGCCTCGAGAGTTTCTCATTCGAATATTCAAAGAATGCTAGATTCTAAGAACCCCTCTTTCGTAAGTTTAAAAAAAACGTATGTGAAAAGATCGAATCGAAAGATGGCATGCGAGGCCAAAAGGAAGTTGTTTTGAAGTAGCTCGACGACGTATCGAGGATTTGTTTGAAAATGAAACCGACTTGACGACGTGTCAAGGGTTAGGGTTGTGAGAAACGATATTGGTCCCTGAGGGTGCTTCCAATATCAAAACCACGAGGAATTGTGAATGTGTGTACAAAATGTCGATGGCTGCGAATGCGTACGAGCATTCGACTTAGGAGAATGTTTGAGAACGATTGAGTTTGAAAGAGTCGAAAGGTTGAGTGAATAACAACTCAAAGGGCGTGCCTCGAGAATTATTTACTCGGAGATTCAAGGAATGCTAGATTCCAAGAACCTCCTCTTTCTTTCGAAGTTTGAATCGAGGAGATATTTTGAAAATAATTTGAAGCGAAAATAGGGTATGAAGATAACTTGTGAATATGTGAAAAGAATACGATATTGAATTTGAAATTATGGGAGAAATGATGATTATTTGATAAATGAGACGTCGGCCTCACAACCAATTAATCGGGGTATTATCGAAATGCTCGATCTCGACGATATATTTTTCATTCGATTTAGACTTGGATGAACAATGGAAACATCACACGGAATGCTAGATTCTTACGATATTTCTTTGTTCAAAAGAGAGTATGTTTAAAGAGCGAAAAGTTGAACAAAACATTATTTAAGGTGTACACCTCAATAATATCCATTCGAAAACTCAAGAAGTGCTAGACTTCAAGAGTTTAATTTTTAGTAATTTAACTAAAAATGATTTGATTAAACAGGCTTTAAGAAATACTATTGCTTCAAAAAATTTCTCTTTAAAATAAAATAAATTACTTAATAAATAGAAGAATGGTTTCGACTTAATTTAAAAATATTGTTTGAATAAACAACAAAAGTATCACGTGGAATGCTAGACTCCAATGACATTTCCTTGTTTAAATAATTAAAGGGCGTATTTTGAAACAAAAAGTCGAGCGATATTATCCAAGGCGTGCGCCCCAATAATATTCATTCAAAATTCAAGAAGTGCTAGACTTCAAGAATTTAATTTTTCGTAATTGAGAAAAAAAAAATTGTAATAAAAAAAAATAAGTTGAACGGAGGTTAGCAAAATTATTAATTTTAAAGATGATTTAAATTTGAAAAAGGATATTTAAAACATAAATCAATAAACTCTAGATTTTATTTGTAAAATTGACTTAAAAAATAGATTATTGAATATTTGAATAAAAGATTTTATTGTTAGAAATAGATTGAACTAAGGTTAGAAAAAAAACTTTGAAAATGAGTTTGAAGCATTAAAGCCTAATTAAGAGAAAAAATTATAATAATTATTATATTTGGAAGGAGAGGGTGGCAGCAAAGTCAAAAAAAAAACATCAGAGTTGAGACAAAAAGAATGTTCCTAGGGTTGGAACACCGTAATCGTGATGTCAATAGCCAAGAGCTGAATCTAATAGCAAAACACTCAGAAACCAGAACCATCCATCTGCAAAACTTGATAATCAAAACAAATGGATCGAAACCTTAAGCCTTAATATGACCAATATAGAGGTGGAGAAAAAAAAACAGCAATGGAGAACAAATTGTTGGCACAAACATGGAGAAAATTAAAATAACCCACGGATGAAACACATCACCATGTTAATATACAACAGAATCAATCAATCCAGCCAAAACCCTTGCACATCGTAACAATGTCAACAACAACATCAACAGCGCGGTTTGCCGTAGTGATAAACTTAGAACAACTTTGTTCATCAACATAACAACATAATGGCGACAGCAAACATAAATTTGAACAAGAATTTCAAACGAAACAAAACTAATCTAAAAAAGTAATAAAGATTCAACAACAATAATGAAAAAACCAGTTATTTAAACAAATCCTAAACTTATGATATTCACAACAAGTTATGATGGCGGCGTGAAACTGTCGATTTGAAAATGTTACCGAAACATTGAATTTGTCGTTACTTGGAAGTGTTGCCATGAATTAAATCTTATGCCATTGTTGTGCTGAGTAATAGAGTCGTGCTTGCGTTGTGGTTATCTCAGAACACGTCGTCGTCGGAATTGAAAGTAACAGAGCTAGAGCTAACGTTGGAAACTTCTTGATGCTATGATGTTGCTCGACTGCTACTTGCTCATCAACCTATAAATCGCACCAGTTGGAGAAACAAAGAAATTGATGACATAACTAAACTTGTTACCTGTTGTCTCTCATTGGAAACGGTGTTTTCAAGATTAAGTTGAACATTGTTATCTCGACACCGAGCGGTCAATACAGCAACATCCTCTTGAGTCAACATTTCAAACTCAGATCTCTAAAGTTACCGACGCCGATTTCGAGCTTTGGCCTCATACGGATTGGGTTGTCATGACTATTGTTGTTGCTGGAATGTGAGAAGACCACTCTGAAGATGGAGGAACTTCTTGAAGAGTTGCTTCCTGTTTAAGCTTACGCTTTTGGTTGACTCCAGTTATGCGCCTATTGCTGTCATTTCGCTGTCGCACAAACTGAGCCAAGAAAGCCAGGACTCTGGACTGTTTTG